GGTACAGAACCCATAATAGATAGGGTAAGAAGAAAAAAGTAGATACAAAGCTCCTGAAATTTAAATTAAATAATTTATTTGAGAATTAGTTGTATAAATGTTATAATTTTCTTATTAACAAAGAAAAACATAGCAATGTCAACATATTTGTTTATTATTAGTAATAATTATTAATAGACAACCTTAGCATCACCCTTGCTCATGAAGAAGACTACTTTACACTAAGTAGTTCCACTGAGAGCAATGCAATTGTTTGAGACTAAGGTTCCACGCAGTGTAAAAATGTCTGAGTTGGAGCCATAGGGTACGTCTAGACTACAGGCTTTTGTCGACAGAAGTTTTGTCGACAGATACTGTCAACAAAGCTTCTGTCAACAAAGAGCGTCTAGACTACATTCAGTTCTGTCGACAAAGCAAGCTGCTTTGTCGACAAAACCCTGTAGTCTAGACACAACCCTACATACACTAACACCTTCTGTTGACAGAACTCTGTCGACAGAAGGCGTTATGCCTCGTAAAATGAGGTTTACCAGCGTCGACAAAACTGCTGAGTTCTGTCGACGTTATGTCGACAGAACTCAGTGGTAGTGTAGACGCAGGTATAGTGGACTTTTGTCGACAAAACTCTGTAGTCTAGACACACCCATAGTGTCTAAATTGTGGTAAGAACTCGAGTAAATAGTTGACAAGACATGCAGTATTTCCACTCCCAAGTATTCCAAAATCATGAATTAGGTGCCTCTAAAACAATGAGATTTTTTAATATAATCATAAGATTTCAAGAATAATCTATTTGGCATTCTTTTTATTTGCTTTTTGACTTTTGAACCTTTAGGATTCATATTTTAAGCGTATGTCTGCTACTGTGAGGGGTAGTATGTCCTTATTTTTTTTTTCAGTTACAGCTGAGTTTCTGTGGCGAGGAGTCCTGTGGCACCTTCTAGACTAACTGAAGTGTTGGAACATAAGCTTTTGTGGGCAAAGACCCACTTCGTTAGATGCATGTCGAAGTGTAGTTTCTGGTGTAGTCCCATGAGTCCAGTTTCTAGGGCTTTAGGAAACGCATCAAATATTGCAAGATTTATGAGAAAACGTTAAGCGACAGAGACACCAGAAGTGGTCTCTGCCCTGAATATACAGTAGATTACAATTGGAGACAAGAAAAGGCAAGTTGTTCTAAACGAGAGGTACCCTGGAACTGCACAGAGTCCCACGAAAGCTATGGGAGCTCCGTGCAGGTAGAGAGGTCCCCTGGCATGCAGTTCATTGTGGGAGTGGGTGCAATATTTGGCTATAATATTTTATAAGTAGAACATGGTGAAAGATTTTGGATGAAACATTTTTTTAATCATTCCACCCCCCAAAAATGCAAGTTGAAACTCTTTGCACATTCATGTTAAATCACTACAAATTTCAGGCTTAACTTCCAAACCCGTAAGAACATAAGAACATAAGAATGGCCATACTGGGTCAGACTAACGGTCCATCTAGCCCAGTATCCTGTCTGCCGACAGTGGCCAGTACCAGGTGCCCCAGATGAGGTGGACGAAAGACAATGATCAAGAAAATTGTCTCCTGCCATCTTTCTCCAGCCTTTGACAAAAAGAGGCCGGGCAACCATTCTTTACCCCCTGGCTAATAGCCTTTTATGGACCTAACCTCCATGAATTTATCTAGCTCTTTTTAAAACTCTGTTATAGTTCTAGCCTTCACAGCCTCCTCTGGCAAAGAGCTCCACAGGTTGACTGTGCACTGTGTGAAGAACTTTCTTTTATTAGTTTTAAACCTGCTACCCATTAGTTTCATTTGGTGTCCTCTAGTTCTTCTATTATGGGAACTAATAAATAACTTTTCTTTATTTACCCTCTCCACACCACTCATGATTTTATATACCTCTATAATATTTCCCCTCAGTATCCTCTTTTCTAAACTGAAAGTCCCAGTCTCTTTAGCCTCTCCTCATATGGGACCCGTTCCAAACCCCTAATCATTTTAGTTGCTCGTTTCTGAACCTTTTCTAATGCCAAAATATCTTTTTTGAGGTGAGGAGACCACATCTGTATGCGGCATTCAAGATGTGGGCGTACTATAGTTTTATACAGGGGCAGTAAGATATTCTTTGTCTTATTTTCTATCCCTTTTTTAATAATTCCTAGCATCTTATTTGCTTTTTTGACTGCCGCTGCACACTGCATGGACATTTTCAGAAAACTATCCACAATAACTCCAAGATCTCTTTCCTGATTAGTTGTAACTAAATTAGCCCCTGTCATATTGTATGTATATTTGGGGTTATTTTTTCCAATGTGCATTATTTTACACTTATCCACATTAAATTTCATTTGTCATTTTGTTGCCCAATCACTCAGTTTGGTGAGATCTTTTTGAAGTTTTCACAGTCTGCTTTGGTCTTGACTACCTTGAACAGTTTAGTATCATCCGCAAACTTTGCTACCTCATTGCTTACCCCTTTCTATAGATCATTTATGAATAAGTTGAATAGGATTGGTCCTAGGACTGGCCCTTGGGGAACACCACTAGTTACCCCTCTCCATTCTGAAAATTTACCATTTATTCTTACCCTTTTTTCCCTGTCTTTTAACCAGTTTTCAATCCATGAAAGGATCTTCCCTCTTATCCCAGGACAACCTAATTAACACAAGACCCTTTGGTGAGGGACCTTGTCAAAGGCTTTCTGGAAATCTAAGAACATTATATCTACTGGATCCCCCTTGTCCACGTTTGTTAACCACTTCAAAGAACTCTAGTAGTTTAGTAAGACATGATTTCCTTTTACAGAACCCATGTTGACTTTTGCCCAACAAATTATGTTCTTCTACGTGTCTGACAATTTTATTCTTTACTATTGTTTCAACTAATTTGCCCAGTACTGATGTTGAACTTACTGGTCTGTAATTGCCAGGGTCTTCCAGTCCTTGGGTACAGAAGCTGATGTAAAGGATAGGTAACAACCACAGTTAATAGTTCCACAATTTCACATTTGAGTTCTTTCAGGACCCTTGGGTGAATGACATCCGGTCCCGGTGATTTGTTACTGTTCAGTTTTTCAATTTGTTCCAAAACCTCCTCTAATGATACTTCAATCCAGGACACTTCTTCAGATTCATCACCCACAAAGGACGGGTCAGGTTTGGGAATCTCCCTAACATTCTCAGCCGTGAAGACTGAAGCAAAGAAATCATTTAGTCTTTCTGTAATGGCTTTATTGTCCTTGATTGCGCCTTTTGTATCTCTATCGTCCAGGTGCCCCACTGGTTTTTTAGCAGATTTCCTGCTTCTAATGTACTTAAAAGCATTTTGCTATTACTTTCAAAAGGACACGTTTTGGCTTCTTTGAAATATTTGTTTGAGGGGTTTGAAACTTTTAATCTGTTTTTAATGATTTACAGCATTAAAAACAGAGTAAAAGTTTGAAACCCCTCAAACAAATATTCCAAAGAAGCCAAAATGTGCCCTTTCGGAATTTTCCAATGGACACATTTTCACTTTTCAACTGAAAATGACTTTTCATTTCAGATTTTATTTCAGTTTTATTAAAAATGCTTTTAAAAAGAGTAGAATAACCTTGAAAACAAAACTGTTTTCTTTTACCTTCTTGGTTCAGAAACCAAATGAATAGGACTTTAGCATAATTAGAGCTCTACTATAACGATAGCACCACTCTAATTATAAGTAATTGTAACAAACAAGACTACAGTGAAAGGAAAGAGATTAAGCTAAAGCATGACTCACTTTGTCTATGTGCTTGCCACAGAAAGTTACAAAGAGTGTGAGTTTTCCCAGGGCTGCAAGATGAATGTTGAAATGAACAAATGTGAAAGTGAATGCAGCAAGAGTCAAGGTTATTAACATGGAAGTTGAAATCAGTCAGAAGGAAGGCTGGGCAAAGAACCAGGGATCAAAGCTGAAGAGAAGGCAAAACCGATAGAGTTGGGAGAGCAAAACAGGACAGTAACATACACAAAGACAGAAGGGGAGCAGAGCTAGGTCGTTGGAAAGTACATATTTCAAAGGATGAAAAAATGTGTGGTGGAGGGTTAAGTGAAAAGGTTGGAAGTAATCTTCAGGCTGCAATAACTCTGCTCCAGTGGGAGGGAAAAACGGGGCAGGAGGAGCTCCTTTCCATTTTAATAATAGATTTAAAAAAGTCTCCCTTGCTTTACATTAGGAGAGGGTCACGGTGTATGGGTTTGTTACTTCTGCTTGAGCACTGACTTCACGAGTTTTCAGTCAAGGGAAGTTGCTTGTGGGCCTCCTACTTTCTGTAAGTCATCCAAGATATAGCCTGCCACTATATTGTCATATCAGGGAGAGAGATGCTCAGCTCCATTCTGATGTCATTCTTCAATGCCCAATGACCATACATGGCAAGAGAGCTTAAACTCTTCCTTTTGGAAGGAGGCGTTGGACAGCCACATAAACTGTAAATGGTTGCAGTAACAGGGCAAGAACTGCACCCTGGCCTTTCTTTGTACATACAGAGTGCTTGGAGACTCTCTTCTTGTGAGCCCTACATATGGGTCATGCATGGTGTTCCCTCCCCTGTCACCTTTATGGTATTGTACCACAGCACACCATTCACTACCTGAGGGCTGGGGGAAAGCTTCCTTACAACCGACTTTGAGAATTCCCTCTCCAGTGGCAATTTCTTCCTGTGCCCTTTCTAGTTTCTGGGCTACTAAGCCTTGTCGCTCTCTCCAGCCCTTCCGCAATTGGTCAGTTAGGCCTGGCTAGCATTGTCAGGCTTACTCCTAGGAAACTAACTGGAGCTGCCGTGACCAGAATTTGAGTTCAGCTACTGGGGTCTACCACTCTGTCTCAGTTACTTTCTGGCTCTCAAACAGCCTTTGGTGCTTTATCGACAGACCATGGGAGAGAAATTGAGTGGGGGATGGGGAATAAAGCCGCCATCTCATGTTGCAGTTGGTTATCAGAGTCCCAAATTAATATTAATTTGTTTTTTTATTTTCTCGGGACAGATGGACAGAAGAAAGTTCAAGAGGATTTTGACATAGACATGGATGCCCCAGAGACAGAACGGGCTGCAGTGGCGATACAGTCCCAGTTCAGAAAATTCCAGAAGAAAAAGGGAGGATCCCAGTCTTAGTCACTACCTCATAGTTTATTTAAAATGGTAGTCCTGAGGTGATCTGTCAGGAAATTAATAAATAAAACTAAGATGCATGTACAGAATATTTAAAAACTCATTGGCAGGTGTACAACAATGACCTTGATGTGGCCTCATCCTTGTGACTCTCTCCAGTCCCATTTCTCACCATTTTACCTGATGTAATAAAATGTTAGGATGAAGTAATTAAAGTGTCTTCTCTCATCTGTCTTTTCTTTATTAATCCAGCAAGCACAGTGTTTCAAGTGAATCCAGCCTAGATGCCTATTTTCCTCTTTGCTTAAAGCTTGGAGACATAATGTAGCACCGTATGTTATGAGATTTTTTGCTAAGGGAAGAGAGAACAAGTCTGAGCCCTGCTTACCTCATTTAGAGAATTCCAGCTGCCAGCCAAATGTGAGAATTAAATGATTTTTCCTGTAATGAGGTGAAAGTGAAAAATCAGAGACAGTGTGGTATTGAGGAGATAGGGGAAGCATTTGTTTTTGTCTCATATTTCAGGCAATAAAATGGTTTAGGTGAGGAAATCACCATCCACAGTGGGTCCCGGAATCAATACCGGAGAACACAACATATCCCCATTTGGATCCTATTGGTCAGAATTACAATGCTTTCTGCCCGATGTCTACAGTTCTAGAAATAACTCTTCCCTCCTCCTCTCCCCCCACCAACAACATACACATTCAGAGATTTGTTTGTAGAGGAATATTTTCCTCTCTAACCTCTTTCTTTCCTGATTGTAAGTGTTCATTACCTATCCAAACAATGCATGTATTTTTCCTGTCCCTCTATATTGTCCCATGGTTTGCTAAGTAAACCACAACACATGCTTTGCCTCCAGCTACAGTTTTCTCTTTCTCTAGTTACTTTATGTTAGAGCAACAAGAATGATTAGCGGTCTAGAGGACAAGCCCTATGAAGGAAGCCTGAAAGAAATGGGCTTGTTTAGTGTGGAGAGGAGAAGACTGATAGGGGACATGATAGCTGTTTTCAGGTATCTGAAAGGGTGTCATAAGGAGGAGGGAGAAAAACTGTTCTCCTTGGCCTCTGAGGATAGGATAAGAAGCAATGGGCTTAAACTGCAGCAAGAGGTTGGACATTAGGAAACATTTTCTAACTGTCAAGGTAGATAAACACTGGAATAAATTGCCTAGGGAGGTTGTGGAATCTCCATCACTGGAGATATTTAAGAGCAGGTTGGATAGACATCTATCTGGATTGATCTAGATGGTGTTTGGTCCTGCCATGAGGGCAGCAGACTGGACTCAGTGACCTCTCAAGGTACCTTCCAGTTCTAGTGTTCTATGACTCTATGGCTACGTCTAGACTGGCATGATTTTCCGCAAATGCTTTTAAAGGAAAAGTTTTTCTGTTAAAAGCATTTGTGGAAAAGAGCGTCTAGATTGGCACGGACGCTTTTCCACAAAAGCACTTTTTGCAGAAAAGCATCCGTGCCTATCTAGATGCAGTTTTGCGCAAGAAAGCCCCAATCACCATTTTCGCGATCGGGGCTTTTTTGTGCAAAACAGTTTTTAGCTGTCTACACTGGCCCTCTTGAGCAAAAACATTTCCGGAAAAGGGCTTTTGCCCGAACAGGAACGTCAAAGCATTTGTGCAAGAAGCACTGATTTCGGACAGTAGGAAGTCAGTGTTCTTGCGGAAATTCAAGCGGCCAGTGTAGACAGCTGGCAAGTTTTTCTGCAAAAGCAACTGCTTTTGTGGAAAAACTTGCCAGTCTAGACACAGCCTATGTGACCAACCCCTCCACCACACTTTGGTCACTGAAATACCTTAATTTTTAATTAATATATTTGGGCTCATAACACCTCTGTTGACAAAGTAAATGAGTCGCCCATGATTAGCCAGTGAGCCTGTGGCAGAGCCAGGAATAAATTCAGATTTTCTGAGTCCTTGCTCAGTGCCTTAACTACAAAACCATAGTTTGTTTCTACTTTTTCTTTCTGTTGCTTACCTCTTTTTTTAAAAAAATCACAAATAACTTGCCAATATGAGCTTAGTAATATCAGGATATGGACCATATAGAGAACAGAGATTTCCCATTTATCTTTCAATACATACAGCACACTATCTAATAAGAGCACCAGGAGTATAGTTTTAAAACCATTTTGTTTAGCTCAACAAGTCTTAATAAAATAAAAGAAATAATAAAGAATTGCATTTACCTCGTGCATTATGTCATCTGAAATAGCATAAATGTTGTAATAGTTACTTAATTGGATAAAAGCTATGGGTAAAACAATAGGCTTTTATTCTTTATCTGACATCCCTTGGAGTGTTGTAACTCACATGGTTCAATCGCATGCTTAGGGCAGAACGAAAACCATTGGATTGTTGAAACACAGTGACTAGGGCTATTGGAAAATGGATTACTGAGGCCTTTCAGCAATAGGACTATTTTTCAATCTCAAGGGCAGAGTGCAACCCACAATGAAGTCTGACCATGCAGTGGAATGATCAAGAAGGAGTGAGAGAATGACTGGATTAATTATTACAGACCTTGATGCAGACAATTCTTTTATAGCCGAGTATTTTTATGTCACATTTTCACTGCAGGTTTCCATCAAGGTGGGCAATATTCTCATGCCTAGTGCTTGATTTTCATTGGTTCTTTGCTCATGTTCAAGGCAGAACAGTTTTAAACAAGGTCTTCTTTGTCACAAACCTGTAGCATTAGTAGGCAAATATGGCTGCTGTTGGGTTGTGAGAGAGGTTTGCAGACAGAGACATACTTTTCTGAAGAACATGGCCTATATTCAGCTACTAACTTGCCCTATACTTGGGGCTATAATTATATTTGTCATTTGTGTCTTATTTTTACTTTCAAACACCAAGTGGGGTCTCTAACTCACTTGCCTTTGGAATAGTAATATCTCAAGTATGTTTACATTGCTACTGAAAATACCCAGGTCCTGACAGGTAAACAGAAAGATTGTCCCACAGCAGATGATCTGAGCGAATAAAAGGACATTAGCCCCAAAAAGTACCTGTTATAAATTGGTCAAAGATAACGTAACTAGTAGACAGTGGGTTGAGTAGATATTGACTCTTGTCATGTGTAAGAGAATAACTGTGAATTCAATGGATAAAGCCTGCAGACAACCAAGAGGTGGAAAATGATGAAGATGCCATCTATCCATAAACAGCTCCAGAGATTGCAATACTAATGACTACTGTGAGATGGCCCCACAAAATGGTTAACCCTCAACCTCATCAATGAATGATCAGTGATTCCACAGAGCCAGGGTTCAAATTTACATTCTTAAGTCATGTAAAAAAAACCCCAGGGACTTAATTTTTTTATCACTCTAGTTGTGTGCATACCTGTTTATTAAATGTTGTTAGGATACAGGAAAGATGATTTAAATGTTTAATTGTTAACCTATACTTCAATGGGTGAAAGCTTGTAAAACAGTCTGCTAGTCATTCCATGGTTCTTTACTTCAGGTCAGGATTTAGCTCAATTTTGTGAGGTAATACTATTTATCTTCCTGTGTTTGTAAGCTAGACAGCCAGAGAACTTCAGTGTGCTCAGCAGCCTCAATAAAGGAACTTCCTTCTCTTTACTACACCTATATCTGTGTCTTCCTTGTTGTGAGGGGTCTGGCAACTCCCCTAGATTTGCACAGTTCTCTTCATATTATTAATTGTCTTCCTGGATTACTTACACATGGTGTCCATTCTTAGGCCAGCGGTACATCTTTTTCTGCCTTTGGAACCCTGGTGAGCTGCCACCCCTGGGTGCCTCACGTGTACTGTGACCATTGTTTTTTCTGATTCAGTTATCTACCTATTATCCCACAATGTAGTCTGGGCCCATGTGTGGTTATGTTGGTGTTTCTGAATATCCTTTCCCCAGTTCTAGCATACAAGTGTGATATTGACAGTTGTCTTGTTTGTATTTATTCCACTCCATACATTAATACTTCGGCTATGTAGAAACTGCAGGCTTCTTTTGGAAGAAACTTTTCCGGAAGAGATTGGGCATTGAAAAAGCAATCTGCTTTTTCGAAAGATAGCATCAGCACTGAATGGGCAATATCTTGCATTTAAGCTGTGATTACTATGGATGGAGTAGCACCTGTGTTTTTTTGTCTTTCCTCTTCTTGCAAAAGAATTCCCTCTTCCCCATCCACACATGCCTTTTTCCGAAAGAGCTCTTTCAGAAAAGGCTTCTTCCTTGTAGAAAGAGGTTTTCCAATGTCGGAAAAGCCCTTTCTTTCTTTCTTTCTTTCTTTCTTTCTTTCTTTCTTTCTTAAAGAACATGATTGCAGTGTGGACAAAAGTGAATTTTTTTTTCAGAAAAATGGTCATTTTTCTGAAAAAACTCTTCAGTGTAGACATACCTTTAATAATGATCTGTTGTTCTGGATGCAGCTGTAAGAAATATGCTGGTCTCCCTTTGCTTTTGTACTTATATAATGCAGATCACCACCAGCTTTGCTAGACTGTACAAATTGCACCCTAATTTTTACATTCAGTCTCTTGAGTACAAAGTGACCCATCTAGAATGAGTCATGGAATCAATCTTAATGAATGTAAAAGTGCAATGTTAAAAGACTGAGTAACTGGAAAGACAGTTTCAACTATACATACACAGTGTACAGGCACTAACAAATACTGCCTTTTAGATTGCTTGCAGCTCAGACTTTTCATCAAATCTGTTTAGTGAAGTGCACTTCAGCAGCCACTGTATAATCTAGTTCAGCCAGAAATACCTCAGGTTGCAGCACATTTGAAATTGATCCAAAATATCTTGGCTGAATATAGCAGTGTAAATATGTCAGGGAAGCTATTTATGGAAATATGAATTGGTGAGGAGGATGGCAGACAGCAGAGGAGGTTGGTTGAATAAAAAGAAAATAAATGTAGTAAATAAGGGTAAAATGGGTTGCAATGGGAATGCTAATTTGTTAAAAAACACTCTTACCATTTTTGTGCAGACCTGCAAAACGAGTTTTTCTTCTTCACTCTCCAAAAATACCCATCTGTCGTCCGCTATGATCACACCAATGAGCTTAGGTTTGGTTTGAAGATTTGGGGAGATTAACTAGATGATTCCTATGGAGACAACCAAACTCAGTTGATTCATTTCATATAAAACATTGTGTGTGCTTTGTATGTGTTAAGCGGGAATATTCAGACCTCCAGGCTCCTGTTCATAGAAT